GCTGGGGAGGGTAACTGTGGTGCCAGTGCACAGGGGGAACATTAGACCATGCAGTGGGGTAACCATACTTCTGTGGCTCCTGGGACCACATAGACAGTTGACCATAATGTAGGAGCTCCTGGAGCCAGTTGAGTAGAGCATTGTAAGGCTGGTTAGGTGCTGGAGCTCCTAACAGTAAACTTTTATGTTCCAGGGGCACTGGGGTTGGGCAGGAGGTCTGCTGAGATGCCAAAGGTGTACAAGCAGGCTTCTCCATCTCCTTGGGTTCCTTGGGTGGACATCTTTGAGATTGTTGTGGTGCACGTGGCTGCTGCTGAGGTTGAATTCCAGAATATGCCACTTTTGGCTGTTGAGAATTACTTAAATTCTTGATATCTGGCATAGATTTGTTTTGGTTCAATATTTCAGCTTCGGGGTGATAATTGACAGTGGAGTTGTAGCTTTTCGTTTCATTTATCGTCAAGGTTGAGTGATCAGTGTCAGTAGAACCATTCTGGTAAGATTCATTTTCAGGATCATTCATACTTGAATATAATTCAAATCCTTCCACCAGTACATCTTTTCCAGGTTTCTCAGCAGATCCAGTACTGTTGACTATTAGAAAAATATATTAGTCCATGAATAAAACCAAGTAATTGATTTAAAAGAAAACTTACCATTTGCTTGATATCCTCCTACAGCCAGCAAATACAACAGCAAAGATCTGGATAAGACCAAGTTAAAGTGTTGTAAGTTTTTGAAGAACAAGTTAGGACGATTTCATTGTTTGAAGAAACTTAAGAAAACCTTTGCAAAAAAACAATTTTCTACATATAAAACTGGATGAGTAAGTTTTATTTAATAGATAGTGGTTTCCATTAAAAGTTGTGTTTGCCTGCAATCCATATATTAATTGAATAAATGTACTGGTCTCCTCTATCATAATACACCATCTACATGGCATTATCAAAGGTAAATATTCCTTTTTTGGTAATTCCTACAGATTACCCTTATTTGATTTTTTGGGACTTTCAATTTACAAGATTTAAGAAAATGTCCAATATAGACATACAAGTAATCTGCAGGAAAAGTATTCAGAGTAATTGCTTGCTACTAAAGAAATGCATTGTTACAGATTTACCTTTAAAATCATAAAATAAAATTAACAAAACAAAACTTGATAACTTGCCTTAACAGGAACCCCATGGTTTCAGCCATAACCAACAATTAAAAAAAAGCAGAGACTCAAGGAGCTTTATCAGGTTCCCTTGTTAGATAATTGGACACAGCTGAGTAACTGATCTCAGCTGTGGTAACCAAAGCACAGTGAACATTGTCAGAACCAGGTTGAATAAAATCCAACTGATTACATTTTATATCTAAACCCCTAGATATTTCCTCATCACAGTCTTGTGCTCAACATGCCAGCTTCATGATTAAAAGGTTCGCAATTATAGTAACAATTTTTAGTTCATGTTCAATTTTACTCAGTATAAGACTGATTCATATGCAGAGCAAGACTCCTAGTGTGCCATCAGTGTCTGTATTAACTGGCAGGGTCAAGGTCAAGAGGAGACTGTTACTGAACACTGATAAAAATCTCTTGTTTGTTTTGTCTTGTTTTTCTTTTGTGATTTGTCCCTAAATATGTATAGTTTTTTGGTTATGCATTTCGATGGCATGTCATTTTTGCAGAAAATGCACTGAAGATAATCTAAAAAGAATTTAATAAATAAAATAATTATTTGACGGAATATTAACACTGACAATTTTTTGAATATGCAAAAATGAGAAGATTTAGTTAACAGTAAAGACATAACCCCCCTTTATCAATGACATATTTCTTATTTTAGAGAATGAACATTATCACAATTATTTCCGGGAGTCGTTCTCGTGCGGCCACCATTAAGTTCAACCGTAGGCGCAGCGACTTAGTAAAACTACATTTCCCAGGAGCAGCAACATTACGCAAGTTGTTTGCGGCTTCCTGTGTGTACATTTCAGAATTAAGCCGGGGTAGTTTCTCTTCTCATACGAAGAGCCGCAGTCACTCCCCTCTGAGCTTTTACTCTGGGATTGGGGTCATTCCTCCGCGTTTCGTCGCTCCCGGCCGAACACACCGACCTGACGGCGGCTCTCGCGGACGGCCCTCCCGGCAGGTAAACACCGGCGCGATGAGGCTCCGTCTGGCCGGAGCCGTGCTGCTGTCGGCGGCCGCTTATTACGTCTACCTGCCGCTGCCGAGCGGCGTGAGCGAGCCGTGGAAGCTGATGCTGCTGGACGCGCTGTTCCGGAGCTTCATGCAGGCGGTGAGAGCTGCGAGATGCGCTGACCAGCGACAGGAGCCGGACAGGTTGATGTCAGGGTCAGAAATGCCTGCGTTTAAGGCAGCCTGAAACCCGGACCCAACCCGAACCGACCACTTTGCTACGACACTTTTTGGATAGAAATAAAATTGAATAGACTGAATACAGGAAAACGTTAAAGTAATAGGTTAAGTTATTAGACTATTATTGCTCCAGTATAAATAGTAACTATACAATTAAGATGGGGTTTATTATTTATTATATTCAGTCTTCCTAAAAGAGTGGTTATTGGTTATTTTAGGAAAAAGATTGTTGACATCTTGAGCTGTCAAGGTACTATTTGCTTAAAATGGTAAAATATGTTTTGTTTAGGCTGTATTTGTAAGAAATTATTTGAATTTAATGACACAATCAAGTCTATTTTAAGGACACAAATTCATTGGACTGCAGAAATGTACGTAATTTGGTAAGAATAAGATAATATATTTTAAAGCGTTTGTCACCCCAAACCCTTCAGCCAGGTAAACTAAGTTGGGGCTCAATTACAAGTTCAACCCCTGATTTGATTTTTCTGATATATTTCCAAGAAACAGAAAAATAGTTTTAAGCGTTTATTAAAACATAGGAAAATATTTTGTAACCTTTACGCTTTACACTTTATTGAGCACTTTGATACGCAGAGGATATGCAGCTGTGATCTCTGACACACTTCCACTACAGCAAACACACACTGAGCCTGACTTACGTTTTTAATTTGTTTACTTACGGCCAGAAAAACAAGAAAAAGGAGGGTTATTTTGAAGCAGCACTGTAATTTGTAGGTTTGTAGAGGAAAATCAAAGTCAGGGTAAATTTAATCATAAAAAGCTCTTAAAGCAACATCACTAAAAATGTGACAGATTATTGACAATGCGCTCGCTTAGTGTTTCACAGGGCAGGAAAAAGTGCATAAGAAGGTCACTTAGATTATTCATTTTATCTGGCTGCAAAATTAGATTAAAAATGACCTCTCACAGACTTTGAGAATTAAGGGGCCTTTATTCAGCTCAAATAATTCAGAAGTCAGAATTAAGTCATTTAAGAAGAGACATAAACAAGGCTGAAATTGTGGGAAATAACAGTCAAAGAAAAACTTTGAAAAACCTTCTTAAAAGAACTGTTGTTCCGGATTGCTTTCAAAGATTAAAGAGAGTGTGGCTGCTGAGAATGAAAAAGCAAAGAACGACTTTACATTTCTCTGCTGTTTCTCATTGTTTTCATTATAATAATATGTCAGGATAAAACAATCATCACGCATTGGATTCACCACAGATTCCCAAAGAGACACAGGTGCATAACCCTATTTCTACCACCTTTGCTCCAGCAGCCAAACAGCATTTGAAGGGTCAAATTCCATGTCTTTGACAGAGACATGCGAGCGGGATGCGACTGTATAACGTTAATGTTAATCTTATACAGGGAGGAGCAACAGGTTTTCACGCCTTACTCCAGTTTTTCCAGCCTGTTAAGGTGTTTCCCTGTCATTGTTTCTTTTACTTCAGTCCTTTTAGGAAACAAAAAGGGGGAAAACAAGAATATAAAAGGCCAGTTTTAACGGGGGTTTAAGTGTTACCTTAAAAAGGCCGGTGTGTTTTTCCAGAGTGACGTGGCTCACACCCTGGGCGTGTGCCACCGTGTCCACCTGCTGAACCGGCTGGTGTCCTGGGTGGAGGTGATCGAGGCCCGTTCCTGCCCCGCCGTGCAGGTGACAGACATCAGGCTGGGGGGCGTGCCCACCCGGGTCTTTCAGCCAAATGGGGGCAAGAATCTGAAGAGAGGCGTCGTTTATTTCCACGGTGGAGGCTGGGCGCTCGGCAGTGGCCGTGAGTACCGAAACTGCTGGGCTGTTCTTCATCTCTGATGGACTCCATGTTTTTTAATACACACTGAAAAAACTCGAAAGTCAACAAAGTCCTCTCTCAGCTCATTAAACCTGCATGACCAGACCACCTTCCTCTTCCATATCCTCTTCTTTACCTTTCCATCTGAAAAGGCATCTGTTTGCCTTCGACTTTTTCTGTTTTAAATTCAAGGTTTTTTTTTTACCTGACCACAAAAAGGCTCAATTCTAGAGGTGTTCTTTCATTTTGACATTTTAATTAACTTACACATTTGTATGCATTCCTCCATCCATCACCATGAGAGACACTGCATCAGAAACCATTACTTCACCTTCCTGCCTCTAAATAAGTTTCGAACAGGCTTGTGTTTTTTTTATGTTTTCGCTCATCTGACATTTTTAGAAATGTTAAGGATTTGATTATATTTTATCATTTGATTTTTCAAACCCCCCCCCAAAAAAAAAATCTTTTAAAAATGAAAAATGAAAAATTCCATTCGTAAATCATATTTACATCATTTGCTCTGCAGGGATGCGCTCTTATGACCGTCTCTGTCGGAAAATGGCGGAGGATCTGGATGCTGTCATCATGTCTGTCGAGTGAGTTTCAAGCTTCGAACGCTCTCACTGAGTAATGAATTTAAGACAAACGTATATAGAAGAGGTTTCAATGTCTGATGGTGATTCACAGTAAGAAAAACAGAGTTGTTGTTTAATCTGACTGTGGGTTGTCGTCCTTCTCAGTCTGTGAGCTGAGTCTTTAAAGAAAAATTTGGGTTTTATGTTGAACAAGAGGCCTTTTTATCTTAAACTTCATGGTGCATTTGGGTCACTGGAACAGCTGTGTGGGGAAACAAAAAGTTTGCTCAGTTGTCATGGACACGGTTTAATCCGTTATGAGCTGTTGTAGCTGGTGGACCATGTGATAAAATCTTTTTTTTCTTTAGAAACTCAAATATGCGAGAGAGGAGACTCATTGAAAGGATCCAATGTTCCAGTCTGTGTGGTATTTATGGTACCTTTGTAGTTTTAGATTAATGCGATGAACCGTCTTTACTGTTTTAGTTACCGTCTGGCTCCAGAGGCGGTGTTCCCAGATCAGTACCATGATGCTTTGGCGGCGTCCCGGGCCTTCCTGTCCTCCGAGGTTCTGCACAAGCACAGCATCGACCCGGAGAGAGTTTCTGTGTCTGGAGACAGCGCCGGGGGAAACCTGGCCGCCGCCGTTGCGCAAGAGGTGGAAAAACAATCATAAACCTGTCAGAGCACAATTCACCTTTGTTATTCCTGTCTCAGAGAGCCTGTTTGAGAATGAATTTACTATCAAAAGGGGGGATTCTCAAAGGCCATGTGTGGTTGCTACCCAGTTTGTGCTGTGAGACAGGAAATGAATCTGTAATGCTTTTAAAATGCTTAGCTTGTATTCTGCAGAACATTGTTGAGTACAAGCTAATCTCAACAGTTTATCTAAATAATGCAAATGTCCAAAGTACATTGTTCCAGAAGCTCTTTTTTTTAAATCTTGGAGCCAAAGCAGACAAGCCATACTTGTTCAGACTTCTTCTCGCCATACTGTCATGACCTTTAACCTCCTGCCCGCTAACTCTGGCCTGTAGATAATGTGGCTCTGCGTTTTTTTTAACCTTAAATTGACATTGCTGGGACATCCACTTCTGGGAAGATTGGCAGCTGCCCTGAATTTATTCTACTTGTAAAAAAAAAAAATCTGTTGAGTGATGAACTCCAAATAGTCTAGAAATGGCCTCATAACCTGTCCCAGATTGATGGGAGGCAACGGTTGCTTCTCTAAGATCATGCTGATGTCTTTCCTCCTTGAGCAGCAGCTCCTGGCTGCTTCTTACCTGCCTTTAGTTTGTTCCCGCAGGGCTTCTGCTTTTAATGTGGTTCATCTGAGTGAATGTTTCTCTGATCTTATTATGTCCTGATGTGTAAAACCTGGGAGACGGAACAGGGCATCCTCTCTAAATGTTGACTGTGTCCACAGCTCGCCTCGGATGAAACCCTGAACGTGAGGTTCAAAACCCAGGCGCTGATCTACCCCGTCCTGCAGGCCCTCGACTTCCACACCCCGTCCTACCAGCAGAACCAGGCCGTGCCCATCCTCTACCGGCCCGTCATGGCCCGTTTCTGGCTGCAGTACCTGGGCGCCAGCCCCTCCCTGGAGCCCGTGCTGCTGGCCAACAACCACACCGCCCTGGACCAGCCGAGCATCAGCGCCGCCACCCGGTCCAAGCTGAACTGGACCGCCCTGCTGCCGGCCGAGCGCCGGAAGCACTTCCGGCCGGTGGTCAAGGCAACGGGCTCGCCGGGCGTGGTGGGCGAGGTGCCGGCGCTCACCGACGCCAGGGCCGCCCCGCTGCTGGCCGAGCAGCCGGTGCTGAGCAGGACCCCCAAGGCCTACGTGATGACCTGCGAGTTCGACGTGCTGAGGGACGACGGGCTGATGTACGTCAGACGCCTGCAGGACGCCGGCGTGGCGGTGACCAGCGACCACTACGAGGACGGCTTCCACGGCTGCATGGTGTTTGCGTACCCGCCCATGATGTCCAGCGTGGGCGAGAGGAGCATGAACAACTACATCCGCTGGCTGGACCAGAACCTGTGACCAAATCCTTCCACACCAGCTGCACGTCGCAGCAGAAGCTGCAGAGAAACAGAAAGCTTCTCTGCACAAAAATCATGAGCCACTGCTTGACCTCAGAATGTCCCGGGTTTGAGCCACTGTGTCAGCGCTGCTTTTAGAGGAGCATTAGCACGGAAACGCTTCTCCTCTAACCAAAGCTTCTTCATTCCATTGAAACCAAAGAAAGAGAACATGTGGTTTTGTGAAAACGTTTTAGAGGTTGCTTATTTATCAGAATTTCTGCTTTTATTTAAACAAGCAAAGAGAAGGTAACTGATTTTACACTGGATTTTTTATGCATTTATTAGGAGGTCTGTAGTTTATCCTTCAGAGTTAGCAGAAGAATGATGCTGCAAGGTCACATTTTAACACTTGTGTGCAGAAAATCCTCTTAAATGTGCAATAGATGCTGTTTGTCCCTCCATTTGGTTCAGCCTGTGTCTTCTTAACAACATCCCATTCACAGATTTGATAGATTAGGACAATTTCATCATGTTGATACAATTTTACTGACTTGTTTTCATGTTTTAATGATGTCTTGTGCCGGAGACATCAGTCAGGATATCTGGCTTGTTTTTGTGAATAACACTGTTTATGGTAATTTGGGAGGTTTGCAGGTACTGATGTTTAAAAGAAATGTGTTTGAAAATGTATAACAATTATTATTACTTAAAATTGATATTGTTTGTTTCTTTTGCTCATGCAATAGCATGAATTACGACAGACTTAGAGATGAAATGCAGGTTAATGCAGACTAGAAAACGTGCATTTTTCCTTAATGCATTCTTATGTTATTTGCAAAACAAATGTATTTATAAAGCACATTTGAAACAAACTCAGTGGACCAGAGCATGATACAAATATGAAGAAAAAAAGAAAAATCAAGCAGAGACTGAATAATAAAACCACAATGACTTCCTTTAAAGCTAAACCAGTCCCTTTTAAGAGACAGCAAAGCTGAAAATAACAGTTTTCTGCATGATTTAAGTTGATATGTCCACATTTAACTCATGAGGATTCTCCACCAGTAACTGAATCAGCATCTGTAACAAGTTAAGATAAATGTGAAGTCATATCCAGCAGTCCTTATTACCCTCAAAATTTCAACTGATTCTGTCACTCATTTGACCCTGTTCTCACTCAAAGTCTGTGAGGTCATTTTTAATCTAATTTTGCAGCCAGATAAACTGAATAATCTGGGTGACCTTCCATTCCTTCTTTGGTTTAACTTCCCTCTGCTCGGGGAAACACTAAGCAAGCACAGTATCTCTAACATAAGAGGAGTAAGAAATGAAACAACTCAAAGAGAAGAGTTTTAAAGCAACTGACCGATCTCTGACCGGCGCAGAGCCACACAGCTGTGATTTACTGTAGTTGGGCTTCGGCTTCATTCAGGGGATCCACTCCGTGTCAGGGTTGCAGACAGTATACGGGGAGGGATTTTTGGACACAGTCCATGACCGTGTCCCTGGTGGAGAAAAGAAAAGACCTTAAACTAAATACTTTGATGAATATTTCATGGTTCAGGTTTTGAGCTGGAAAGCCCACATCTGTGATGTTTCTCCATAAAACAGGGCATCCTGTTCTCTACGTTATTTCTTACTTAGATTTATATATAAGAAAATTCACGTGGAAGTCTTTACAGTTAGACTTTTACTTTTAAATAGCTTTTGTATGTCCAGTATAACAGGTTGGTAATCTGTCACATCTTTAGTTTTTACACACAGAAGTGTGCTAAATCAAAGTCCTGATCAAGCCCTCGTTTTGTGTATATTTTCAGAATTTTTCAAAGTGGTCCCTGGCAATAATTCTTTCAGAGTTTTTATTCTTTTTTCACTCATTACCATTCCTGAACCTTGTAGCTGACCATTTTTTCAGAGAATTGTCTAAACTGTGAATTGTTCCAGCAGAAATCCCCCCCTACTAACTCAAGGGATAAACCAACAACTTAAAAGAGAAGCTATTTAAATTGGAACTTTAGAGACCTTGTCACTACAAGCCTGTCCCAAAGACAAATAATTTGTTCCCATTTCTTTATTTGATTTATTCAAAACACCAAAGATAACGCTGTTCGACAATCAAAAAACAGGATTTTTGCAGAAACAGGCGGATTCCAAAAGAACTTAGTTGAAAACAACCATCTCCTGTTGGCCCAGTCCTCATCAGAAATGCTGAGAGAAGCCCTTCTTAAGAAAGGCAAACAGGGAGAAAAGGCTGAGCTCTGCCAAATGACACAAGAAGTGGACCGAAAATCAGTGGCAACAAGTCTGATGGAGAGAGGAGAAAAGAGCTCGGACCAGATGTTGATGTTAGAGCTTCTTAGGATTAAAATAACTCTGACTTTGCTTGACAAACTTTACTTCCAGTGATGTTTCAACATGATCATGCTGTTTCCTGTTCGTCTGGCTGCAGATAAACAAATGAGGAGAGGCTCAAGACTTTTGCACAGGACTTAAACTTGAGTCAGGCTCGGCGTGTGTGTGTGTGTGTGTGTGTGCTGTACTTGAAGTGTGTCAGAGTTCACAGCTGCGTGTCCTCTCTGGATCTCTGTGCTGAACGTATAAGTGATCTCCCTCTCTGTAGCCCCCCCCCCTCACAGACCATGTGCTGAGGGGCTGGTGCGGTGATGACGACGACGCTGATAGCTGTGAAATCAATCAGGGAGTTACTGTATCACACCAGAGAGGAGATCCCCTGTGGACTATCACGTTTTCCTCCCCATGGCTGCTGGCTCAAAACTAATAAAACTAACAGAAGGCAGCGAGTGTCTGACAGACTCGGCTTTGGATTTCAGCCCAAAATGCAGTGAGCTGTGGGTGTAGCAGAAACACTGACCTGAGTGGGGTCATTCCATGCTAAATGAACAAATGTGCTACACTGAGTGTCAGGAATCAGTCATTATATTCCCTGAGTGGATTTCTTCTAAGAAAAAAGCCATTCATAGGAAATGTGAACTTTCCAGGCACTGTTTTTCTAATTGTGGTTGTGAAATTATGCACTTAAATGGTTAAATATTATATGAATAAAGTGTTTATACAAGTAGAGTTTGCAACGGGTCAGTTCAGGCGAGTAAATATGTTAAAATGGGCCCAGATGGGCTTCTGGCCTGCTAATGAATCCCATAAAGGAGCTGTTTATTTTGGCTGGGGTGACAATTTCAGTGGTAGGAAGGGAGGGCAGTGATGTTTCGTCTTATCTTTCTTATTTTTGCCCTGATGTAGTCTTTTTCAAAGATAACATTCCTGGATAATGTTTAGCTGGTGCTAAGGTGAATTTTTTCCCTGTTTTCGCCTCATCACTAACGTACTGACGATGAACTCTGTGAGAAAGTCAAATAGAATCACAAAACGTCATTTTTTAATGAATATTTGTTAGTTTTTATGGTTTCAGCTCTAATTTGGATACTAAGGGACTGTAACAATATACACAAACAAAAAAACTCAGGGTTTTCTCATAGTTTAATCTGTATAAATGTATGTAAAACTTTTATCATTGACTAAATGTTGCATTACTACAAATGATGCATGATTAATTGAGCTGACTTTGGACATCTTACAAGTTGTTTGGCATGAACAGACAGATTAAAATAAGTGCAGTTTTAAACAAAATGCATTATTAAACTTGATATTAGTTCCTTTCACCAGCTGTCGGCCAGATGTGGTCGTTACCATCGCAACAGCAATCACAATGACTCCAACTTATTGATGTTTGTTACGTAACAGACATCCAGCCTCAACTCACTGGGCTGCTGCAAACAATTCCCAAACCTCACAGTTCACTCATTTGTAACTCTTTCAATGTGGAACTTGATAAGAATAGTTTGCCGCTCTGCTTTTTGTCCAGGCCAGCTAACATTTTTAACATTTTTTTTAGTTTCTGTCCACAAAAAAAAGATCTATTTGAAAAAAAACAGCCATTTAAAAAAAAAATGACCACACACTGAAGATGGCTAAAGATTTATGCTCTGCTGTTAGTAACAATACTCTTCAATAGCTGAATGGCTACCTATAAGAACAGATGAGCTAAACTAACATCATGTAATTTATATTTCAAGGGCAAAAAAATCCCTGAACTGTGCACTGGAAAACATTTGGAGGAATTTAAAAGGGAGGGCGAAACTAGAAATGTGCTTCAAGTTATAGAGTGAAAGGAGAATCCAGACAATATACCAATCCAGAATTTAGGCTCTGGGATGGTTTGGGGATGAGCCCCTGGCAAAGCTCATTTCCTCTTCTGTGATAAGGGCATTAGTGGAAAAAAGTCAAGATTTTCAGTTCAATTTATGATTCCCCCCCGCATCTCAGATACTGTCCAACAGAGATGGCAAACTAAGATATAACCAGTATGTTGGATTATCTGTCTGTCCGTCCCTCCCTCCCTCCATCCATCCATCCATCCATCCATCCATCCATCCATCTATCTATCTATCTATCTATCTATCTATCTATCTATCTATCTATCTATCTATCTATCTATCTATCTATCTATCTATCTATCTATCTATCTATCTATCTATCTATCTATCTATCTATCT